TAAAAACGTGCAGTCTAACTAATTATTTATAAATAAAGAAAAACAAAATTTTTCACATTCACATTATAGTATTATACTAATAAGTAATAGCTAGTGATCTAATTGGTAGTTGATTTTTATTTAATGCACCTCGTACTACGGTTACATAATTATTTATTATTTAATTCTAAAGGCACTCAATTTTTAATCCAATTATTTYAAATGGTGACAAAATATTTGTATGATTAAAAATCTGTTTCCGGGACAGTATAATATACCTAATTAACTATATTAATTCCATTTTTAGATTCTCGTTAAAAATATTCCATTGGCCTGTTGTAAAGTAAATATATAGTCGAAATGTTGAAATGTTTTTAAAAAATCATATGGATGGAAAATAAAAAATTTCCAAACATGTTAATACTTTTTGAGGCAATCATGTGAAATTTTAAAAGAATCACCACCGAATACACAGCGTTTATATTATTATAAAATAAATCATCGCAGCTTAAAACCAATAGCTACGAGACACCGCTATTGTGCAGCTTTTATAATTAAATTRTTATATATACATATCTGCTATTATGCATAGTCTATAATATAAARTTATTACAAATTTATAAAGTAGGTAGCTATAATCTATACGTATTACATAATATAAAGTTATAGAAAACATCACATTCAAAGTCATGTTATTGATCTTGTAGCTTGATCGGATTGTTTGTTTTACTGATATTAGTGATATTACATATATTTAGGTAATATATAATTATTAATAATCTTATCATTTAACGTGCTATCTATATTTTTTGCCTTTTGAAGTTGACCTTGCCCTTGTACGTTGTCATATTTGACAACATATTTTCAACTCCTTTTACTTTTATTTTTTTTTTGAAATAATATATTATTCATTTGTTGTACAAAACTATGATTTCGTACTATAGCGAACTATTTAAACCAATATTGCATAACAATAATCATGATTTATTATTGTTTACACATACAACCACTCTGCGAAGAATTTTCTCATTCATATTTCCATTGTAAAATATACAATTATACATTTTTCGTCACCGTAGATTATCGACCACAATTTTACTATGGTTTAATTTTACTTATGAAGTTCCAGCACGATGTACGTAAATATAATAATAATAATAATATGTACTATGGATTSAATAGAACGATTTAAAAATAGCCAACCGAGCATTCAAAATAATAGTTACAGCTTATTACCATCTGGTTTAATCGAGGTTATTGTGAATCCTATGATCACCTAATTAACCTAACCTAACCTTTAGAAGTCAACATTTCTTTAGTTGACCAATTGAATCACGATTTTCTTGCTGTTAAATCATAAGCAACATTAATAATACATTGTTATTGTATGAACATTGAACACACAAGGTTGATTTCAAAAATGAAAATGCGTCTATATTTCATATAGTCTGGTTAAAAGTCATTATTTAATATTACTAAAAATTATTCACATTAAAATTAATTTTTTTTTTAAACAAGGTTGTTGTACAATAAGTTACTAGTGTTACCACCTATCATTCAAACGTTATTAAAAAAAACCTTTTAAAATCAATCTAACAACATAATCATAAAACTACATGACCAACAAAATACTTCTTAATATAATCTTTAAAAAAAAAAAATAAATTTCTGTTTACTAATTATTGCTACATTTAAAAAGTAGATGATAGGATATTACTGTGCTGTATAGTACGTTACAAGTAAGT